TAGCAGGTAGTTATTCAAGCAGCCAGTGGGGCACAGGTAAAGAGCATACTCCTGGGGGATTGGGTCCTCCAAAGAGGGATCATTGCAGTGAGAGTGCAACCTGAAATCAAGAGCATGTCACAGAGGATAAGTGTGTGCACTGCCTACTCTTGTTTCCTGTGGTTGAAGGCATCCATAGCAGAGACCAGAAAAAGGAAATACAAAGTTGTTGTTTTCTTACAAATGAAAAGCTAAAATAAAAACTCATTACAAATTTTCTCTCTGAAGTACTAGGCAATGGAGATTTTTTTTCTGCTAATTTTTGTGTACTTTACATTTTATGATGTGCTTTCAATTCTTTCAACGTCTGAAAATGGAAGACAACAAAAAAATGACTTTTTTAGGGGTTTTGAGTTATTTTTCATCTTTTTCATGATTGGAAACAGAGGACTGGAGGGGAAAAAAAACAACATGTAGAAAATATTTAAGAATGAGAAAATAAAAGCTAACTGAAGATATTAAAAACACTCAAGAAGAGCAAGTCTTCTTATTCAGCCCTGATAAAGGCAAACAAATCAGAAAATGCACAAGCAAAGATCAGAAACTTATATCCCATGTAATTATATCCTTCACCTTGCTTTTCCTATGCTGTATGTTTGGCTTTGTGGCTGTTGGATTGGGAGTGGTTCTTGAAAAGCATGGTAGCATCCAGAACAAAAGAATACTGGGGAAGAACACGCCATACTCAAACGTGTCCTCTGGCTTTTCACATACAAAAAAAAAGAAAAAAGCAACCAAACAGAGGTGGGGAAGAAAGTCTACAACAAAAGACAGGTTTTTTTTTGTGGCAGATAACTTCATATTCAGTGACAGAATCAGCACATGAAGAAGGGTTTTCAGCCAGGTTTAACGCAAAAACACTTAGTAGAAATCACAGGTACTTACCATTTTGCAGCCTCTTCTACTGTCTTTTGTCCAGTAGCAGCCAAGGCTTTTTGACTAAAATAGAAACCAAAATGGATTCCTCAGAATGATAGAAAGAAAAATCCTAGAAATTAAAGCATGGACATGCTGTCATCACCAAGCTTATTTTCCAGCACAGGCAGGACCTCTAACACGTAGGTAATGCCTGGCAAATATTAATGTTCTTGAAGCCCTCCAAACAGTATTTTCCACAGTAAGTCTTTAATTCTTTGAAGACTGGTAGCCTGTCCTCCTCACAGGATATCATCCTGTGTATTCTGGAGGTGTTTCCTCCACAGCCCTACTGACCATAAGGATTTCCTTAGGGTTGGGTAAACCAAGTCTGAGGCAGGTGAATCTCCCCACCTCCTCCACTCTGGTGAGACTCCACTTGGAGCTCTGCATTCAGCTTTGGGTTCCCCACATAAGAAGGACATGGACAGGTTGGAGTGAGCCCTTAGAGTCAGGAGATTATTATCCTGTGACTATACATTCTATGCTTCCAAGATGAGCAGTGAATATCAAAAGATGATGCACAGAATAAATTCTGAAAATATAGTATATAGTAGGGATAAGCCTTTGAAAATCTCTATTAAAACTAGTGTATTTACTGAGAGGATGAGCTGTTTCTTCCCTAAAGCAGAATTTGCTGACACACATTCAGTTCTGTGTAAGCACCAGGGAAGGCCCATTTTGTTGATCAGATGCTTAGCTTGTCCATCACATATTTGGTCTTTATTCTTTGGGGAAACGTTACTTTGGCCTGCTGATTCTACATTATGAGAGGTTGGGGAAACGTTACTTTGGCCTGCTGATTCTACATTATGAGAGGTTTTGTAATAGTTCCATCCAACCTCTTTTTCCTCAGGCTAGAAATTAACAAAAGAACAGCTTTTCAGTACTTCCATTTACGGGTCAATCCTGGAGCTATACAGACAGCTAAGAGGTTTTATAAAAACACGATCAACATTTTGAAGGTCTTAAAGTCAATAAAAATGAATATATTAAAAATAAAGTGCTTTTGGACATTTTGTCATTTTATGTCGATTTGCATAGTACTTCTGCCACTGCTTCTTGATTTCGATCTGGGAAGCACAAAGCCATCTTAGAAACAGCAGAAAGTGTTTAGAAGGGGATTTGAAGAACATTATATACAGGACAAAAAAAATTGAAATCTAGCCATTACTTTGGGGTGGCCAAACTTACAGCATTACCAGAGAAATGATGAGCTATGTTCTCAGCTGAAATTCCACTGTGCATAACCTGGAACAAGGGACCCACAGTTTCCTTGTAAACTGTGCACATTGTGTCTAAAGTTGAGGCGCTAAACACAGCTATTCCTAAAAAAGCATCCCAACATTTATGAATGGAGCCTTTTCAACTTGCTTAATTTTCAGTCCGAAGGGAGAGATATTGGTCTGCTTTCTAAAATACTTTTATGAGGGGTTCTTTGACATATAAATATCTGTTTTTTGAACAATTTGAACTAAAGTGTCCATATTTGTCCTTCAGAAGCTGGAAAATCCTCCCCAGAACTTCCTTCTGCAGCTAGAATGATGTCTGGGGGAGGAGTGACTGCCATATTTCTTTTTCATTAGCTTGGTTAACTGCCACCAGTTAATCTCTTACCTGCCCGTGGTTACCAAGAATAGTGCCTTATTCTTTACTATTATATTTTCCAGGTACAAAACACTTTTGGAACAAGATCCTGATTCAAGATGGGAAAAAAACTTGACGGACTTATGTGGCATCTTTTTAAGGAAAGTTTACTGTTTTAAAACAGTTCCCAGTGACAAAACCCAGTAGGAGGTCTCTGCCAGGCCTGAAAAAACTTTGAGTAGAAGTTAAATCCTCATTTAACTCCCTTATAACAACAGTGAGAAGCAGAAAAAATGAAACACGATATATCTCAAGAGCAAACTACAGACTTCAACTTTTTAACTCATTGTGGATCCTCTCAACCTGAAGATGTGGAAGGACATGAATTTTCACATATACATGATATTTATAAAAATGGATACAAAGCAGGGTGGATTTTCTTAGCAATATAAGCAATACACACTGTTTTACAAGAAATTAAAAGCAAGACAGGTCTGATCCCTGTATAGGGACACCACCCCAGGTTGCAGCATGCTCTCTTGATGAAAAAAAGCAAGCTGCCAGCTACCAGGATCTTATGAGAAATACCTCTTATTTTAAATACCTTTAACTGTGCAAAGCAGCCAAACACATTACTCACGCAATATGAGCTGGGAATCCTTTGGCAAGGAGAGACTCAAGGAGTACAGAGGTGCTTCTGCTCCTGTGCTTGTTGGACACCTTTGCGTACAGCTGTGTCTCAGCCACCGCCATCTCCTCCACACTTCTCCTGACTGTGTGATAAGAAATTGTAAGATGGGAGGAGGATGGGAGGGAATAAGAAAATGAGAGAGAAAGAGGCAACTAAAATACAAAAACCCTCAAACCTCCTGTGATCTTCTCTGACAAAAGCTGACATCCTGTTTTCGTAGTATCTGCGTCTCTGAAGTTTTGTTTCAGGGTGGCTAAAAAATCAAACTATCTTCAGGAGTTTCCCATCCACCCCAGCAGAAGACTAGTAGTCCAAAGGCAAACACCACAGGGTGGACTGACAGCTCTGAGACAGAATCTTCTAGCCTTGCATTTTAAATAGTCTTCTGAAAACTGGGAAATCTGCCTGCTACTGCAGCACGGGGGAGGTGAGCAGGGATGTCCTGAAACATGTAAGAAGTTAGTCTGTAGGGCACATTCTATCCTTTGGGGCTCGATTTTCATGTCTTCCCTTCCCTATTCTACATAGCTCCTGCTTTGGTCTTTTCAGGCATAGGCGATGAGCCAGCCAACTGTTCAAGGTCAAAGCCAATGTCCCATCAAGACATCACGCCCTGAGACTAGGCTTGTGGCAGCTCATGGTGACAGCAGGGTGACCTGTCCTTTCCATTGGTACCAGGTCCACAGCGAGAGCCTTTGTACACCTGTACTGTCTGGAACCCAGTGTTTCCAGAGTGGCCAGAGCAGGTGAAATGGTTGGAGACAATTTTCTCTGGCTTGGGCTGTCCTCATTGCAGGTACCACAGCTCTCTGGGAAGGACAGGACACCTCACCCTGTAGACTGAAAGGCTCACCTGAACTGCTGGTCTGCTTTTGTTTTTATACTTTTTCTTATGTCCCCCTGTGTTTCCCCTTTCCAGGGAAGGCTGCCGAAAGAGTGGCATAAGAGATGATGTACTCTTGATGTCATGGCCTGAATGTGAACAGTTAACAGGATCATGATGTGGCAGCCTTTCTTTTGGAAGTGCCAGTTTCCACTGTGCACAGCAAAGGGACTGAAGAGCTTCTCTCATTGCAACTGTGTTTTGGCATGGAAAACCTTCATTTCTTCCCTGTTCTCTCAGGAGCCTCATTTCACTTAAATTATCATGGCCTTTTGCTTCATCTCTCATCCTCCTTCTTCCTTCCACCCGCCCCTCTGTCTTCAATTTGTCTTCTTAGAAAAACAAACCAAAACCGCCAAACAGCTAAATTTTTACTTATTTTGAGCACTTTATGAAGCTGAGCATACACTTTTATTTTCTAAATCCCAGACTACAAATGAGTTGTAGCATGAGATACTGATTGCAAGGTGCTTCCAAAATATTTTGCAGTATTTAATTATGTATATTATAGTGTAAGTTATTCAGGACTATCATGGTTTAAATCCAGCTGGTAACTAAGTACCATGCAGCCATTCACTCACCCTCCCCAGGTGGAACAGGGAGGAGAATCTAAAGAATGTAAAAGGTTGAGACAAGAACAGCTTAATAACTAAAGTACAATATACTACTACTAATAATAATGATAAGGGAAATATCAAGGGGAGAGAATATAAAACTACAAGGGGAACGGGAAAAAAACCCTCAAACAAACAATAAACACAAGCAACGTACAATACAATTGCTCTAGCTTTGTGTGCTGAAGAGATAAAGCACCTGGATCTTCTGCCTTTTGCCACCCACAGCTATCGTCAGACTCCTCAGCTGCACTAGTCTTGATAAAAGATGAGCATGTGCTCATCAGCTGTGGTGATGCTTCTTTGCTGAGGGGTTACAAAAAGGTTTGCAAACACCACAATATTAACTGACCTTCTTAGGCTAATTAGAAAGCATGCTGAATTTTTATCTTCTTTCCATAGCCATGCCATCCAGGGCTACCTGATACCTGTCACCAGGTTGAATTACACAGGCGGCTGCCATAATGCCATATGCAACAGATGACTGAACAGGCAGCCACAGCGACTCACTGAAAACATTTCCAGAGCAGACTGGCTTAGCAACCTCAGAATTTCCTTGTGGTTTCTTTTGATAATGAAGAAAGAAAACAGTTTTGCTTTTAACTATGACTTCTCAGGAAGAGGTGAGTGAAGCTTTGGGAGTATATGGTATCATCTAAATAAACGACACATCAGTGTCTACCTTTCATGCGGTATACTTCACAATGTTTTGCTTTCTGATGGACAACCTATGCACCAGTTACAAGGCTTTTTTTAAATATATACATATATTTAAAATCATACACAGTAAGCTGTCCTTTTCTCTGCCTTAAAGCCAGAAGCCTCTATATAAAGTTTAATTTACGTTCATTGAAACGTACATGAAATTTAGCAAATGAAAGAGTAGAAAACTTACTGTACTTGTTTGCTGAAAGGTGAAAAAATATTCCAGGTGACTTAAAGTGCTGCAGATAAAATATGTATTCTTTGCCTGAAATGTGGCATTGTGAGCATTTTCTGGAACTGACTCTGTGAACATGCTGCTTTTACAGCTGACCAGTTCCACTGTCCTTAACAAACTTGGACCTATTTCACAGAGCTGTGAGTTCAAAAATCTGATTTCTTTTGCAAGTGACAGTGTGCATAACCAGAATCAGAAATTAGCATTGCAAATCTATTTACTCTGAATTCTAGTATAGCCTGGTTTAATTGTTTTTCACTGTGTGGAAAGTTATCAAAGATTTTCTGGAGTAAAATTAAGTGGGCCCCTGCATTAAGATCTTGTCAGGTGATGTGTAGCTGTTATATGCTTTTTAGTCTCTGTTATTTGTTATTGACAGTAGAGAGCAGGGGATGGATTCACACTCCCAGCTATTAAAAGTAGCTACTTGGACAAATTTTAACAAATATTAACTTCAGTAGTTTGCTGTTCAATTAATTGTAAGAGCTCCTCTCATGAACATTTAAGTACACAACTTACTTGACTGTGTCTAGCTCTGGAGTCCTCAGCACAGGAAAGACATGAACCTGTTGAAGTGGGTCCAAAAGAGAACCACAGAAACGATCACAGGGCTGGAGCACCTCTCCTATGAAGACAGGCTGAGAGAGTTTGGGTTGTTCGGCCTGGAGAAGAGAAAGTTCCAGAGAGATCTTGTAGCAGCCTTCCAGTACCTATAGGGGCTTATAAGAAAGATTAAGACAAACTTTTTAGTAGGGCCTGTCGCAACAGGACAAGGGGTAATGGCTTTAAGTTGAAAGAGGGTACATTTAGACTAGACATAAGGAAGAAATCTTTTACAATGAAGGCGGTTAAACACCAGAACAGGTTGACCAGGGACGTGGTAGATGCCCCATCCCTGGAGACATTCAAGGCCAGGCTGGATGCGGTTCTGGGCCACCTGATCTAGTTGAAGATGTCCCTGCTCATCCCAGGGGTTTGGACTAGATGACCTTCGAAGGTCCCTTCCAACTCAAACCATTCTATGATTCTATGTGATTATCCTTTTTCTTCTTCTTTTTTTTTTTTTTTGAACCCAGTTGAGTCAAGTACAAGAGACAAATCCCACTACTGGAAGTCTTGAAATCATCTCTATTACAGAAGATGAACCACCAGTCCCAGAAATACAGTTTTCCTTCAAACGATTTTTCTGCATACCACAAGCAAAAGTGGACCCCACTGCAGATGGATGTGGTAGGGATACTGCACAGCTTTTTGACCTTTATAATCTAATGCCGAATGTAGGTTTTAGCCTTGCAGAACTATGCTTGCCCACTAAGCCAGAGAAAGCAATCACTTAGAGGATGAAGAAACACAACATCACTCTCCATTCGTGAGGTTTGCCAGCGTATTAACAGGCGATGACATCTTGTGTCAGTTTGCATACACAAGCATTTTTCACAGCCAGGGTATTCGCACACTTCAACCACATAGCAAATATTTGCCCACACTTTTCAAACACATTTTGGAATAGCTTATGTGAAATTTTACCAACCTGGAAATAGGTCCATTAAAAATCCTGAATATACAGTACAGCAGCCTTGGAGGAATAGCATGCGTGTTTGCTACTTCCCATAGGTTTCATGGCAAAAATAACCATTAACCTTAACAGAGGCGGGGTGAGCATGAAGGATGAAGATAGAGCAATTCAATTTTCTAGTTCATTAGCTACCTAATGAACAGCTGACTAAGATGCCAGCATACCAGACACCAACTCCATTGCCAAAACCACTTACTCAGCTGCGGCTGACAGAGTTTGTGTAGGTTGGGATTTACTTGTGAGTTTATACGCAGTGGGAGAAATATCTCATCCTTGACTGATTTGAAGTGTCTGCCAATCTCAGAAGGAGAGCTTTAAGAATGATGGGGTGATGAGCTGCATGAATTAAAATTGAAGACAAGGTTCTGCCAGCTCCTGTTAGTGCCCGTGCCTAGCTGTGTATGCTATTATCCCATAGTTTGCCCTTTGTATATCAGAACACATTTGAAACAAGTGAACTGTTCATTAATTTGAGTGGAATCTGTTGTCTTCCAGGTTGACAATACCACTAAGCTGAGGTCAGCTATAGGGGTGGCTGGTGAGCGTGACTGGTCAAGATCATCCAACATATTCAGCAATTATTAACTATATATATTTTAACTTTAGATGCATGTTTTTCCCTTGAAACCTCCAAACTCAGCCTTGAGCCATTGGTCAGTTGTCTCCCTCTCTTTATAGCAAAACTTCGAACAGATCATGTTTTCCCACATTTTTTAAGTCTAGTTTTGGGGTCTCATTTTTTGCAAATTTAGATTTCTAACAGTTAACCTTGCTTCCAAGTCCAAAAGGACTAATGACTTTCCTCCTTCTTGTCTTGAAAACCTATTTAGTCCTTTCTTTTTCTAATATCCTTGCTCCTGTTTGAATCTTTAGGATCCTCTTCCTAGTTTCTCTGCCTCTGCTACCCCAGCTCTGGAGGAAGTTATTGAGCATTAGACATTGCTCCCCAGTGCAAGAGGCAGAACTATGTGGTCTCCATCCTCATCCCAGGATTTCCTTTGTCCTGGACACTCAGTTGTCCCAGTGCTCAGAGAAGCATCCAGCTGGGGCTACAGCTTGGAGGGAGCACTGCAACCACAGGCTTGGTACCAGCAAGAGCCAGGAGGCATCACAGGCAGGAACAGTCATAAGGAGGAGTCTCAAACTAGTCTTTGCTACTTCCACTGAAAGAATTTATTAGTCCACTTGAGCTTTCTGAAGTCTTCAGAGGGTATACCTGTACTTTCCACACTGGCTTGTTTTCACAGACAAAACAGGTCCAAATTTCATTTTTCAGTGTGATGTAGCCCATGAAAATTAATTTAGAGCTCATACCCTTGACTGCATTTAGAACAGGCCAGGTGCTCTGTAAGAGCATGATTCAAACCCCTTTTAAGGTAAATGTTGAAGAGATGTCTGAGAGCACCAGTCAGCCCCAAAACACTTGGACCCTTCTCAGCCTCTGAGCTGGGGGTTCCAAACCACTCTGAGTCAGGTCAGCTCATGAAGTATACGAAGGAGTTACTACTGCCGTCTAGTTTAATGTTGGATAAACCTTTTTAATTGCAAACTCAATCTTTTCATTGTAAACTCAATCTGGTTTAACTTCACAGAAGATGTTCTCTCTGTTTGGTTTCTAGGAGATATCGAACCACCTTCAATGTGCCATGTTTTTATGTCCCTAAAGTACTTTCCATATATCTGTGGTTTATTCCTCGCAGTAATCCTAGCAGTTGCCATTGGCCTGGGTGGTGAGTATAATTAGTTATTCATTAAGTTCTCGCTTAACCTTTCAAATGCTTAATTTTTCATGAGCTTTTTACTTAGAATGGAATTAAACTGCTACTGTGGCTTGTTTGCTGAAGTAAGAATCTTGATGGTGTGACGGCTTTAAATTTTATTTACATGTAGGAATAAAATAGATCTGGCACTCATGAGAGGATTGGTGTAATATTTACAGCACAGGGGAACCCACAGCTCAAGGAAACTTTTCTCTAGTAAAACTTCACTGATTCCCTTTGGGTAGTAAGATGCGGGGGAGGATTCGGGTAGCACACACTGTATTCTTATCCTGTAATTCACATCTCTAAGTTTCTTTTCAGGGAATTAAAAAACTTTACCCTTTCACAAGCAACTTTTACAAAGCAAAAGAAAATCCTGAATGAGTTTAGTTGTGACTGGAAAGTGTGACCTACTCACATCCAGGTGCTAAATACCTCGATGCTAAGAGCAGTACCTTCACACCATAAGCTTGTGGAAGGCAGCTCCTCAGGAAGGAAGTACACTGGCCATGTTTTGCAAGCGTCTCTTTGCTTTGCTGCTGAGAGGCTGAGGCCTCAGAAACTTGCCCTGGAGTGAAATATAAACTGGGTAGAGAGATCTGGGAAACAGCACAGATAGCAAGGCTGACTCATCCTACAAGTCATCATTAATAGATGAATTTAACAGCACCATGTAGCCACCTGAAGGTTGTATTTCAAAAGTTCCTAGAGTACAGGAGTTATCTTTTCATTAGCAAGACAGAAATCTGCACAGATAATGGAATTCAGAAGTGTTAAATTAATATCCAAGTGTATTTTCATCACCCTGTTTTCTTTCGTTCTTGTTAGTCCAATACAACTGCATTGGGAAGTTTCGCTGCAGATCATCCTTTAAGTGTATCCAGAAATCAGCCAGGTGCAATGGTGTCTTCAACTGTAAAGAAGGGGAGGATGAGTACAGATGTGGTAACTTAAATTTGGTTATAAATCCCTCCTACCTCCTCCTGTAGCATCTGGCACATTATCAAGAAATTCATGTTGTAAAGAGTTTGGGTGAGACAAGAAAGATAGAGGCTGATGGACTATCTAAATCACCACTTCAGAGGAACAATCTCTCTGAGGTATTGATTTACACTTTTTAAGAAATCAAACTGCTCTTAAGATAAATGTGATGATTGCTGAATACCTCTACTGCCATTTTGGGCATGTTTCTCCATTAGAAGTCTAGATGGTTCTTGACTGTTAGCATTTCCTCTACCTGCAAGGTGTACCATCACTGCACTGTGGTGTGTATATACAGTACTGTACTCACTGGCACACAGCTGCACTTGTCAGTTTTGAAGATTGCAAAAGCCAGTAATTATCTTAAGGAACGTGGGAACAGGAGAGATCAGCACTGCCTTTTACGCATTGAGTACTGCAGAGTTTCATATGCAAAATATATGCCCCCATGTCTGAGTTTCTCTCTGTCATGAGCTCCAAACCTGTGCATCTCTCCTCTCCCCAGCCTATATATTCATATCAGCCCAGACACGCCAGCCCCATTTCAGGAGAGGGAAGCAGATAGGAAACTCCACAGGATTCCAGGCATGGCTGGGAGCAAGTGCATCCACCTCTCTGACAGTGCTGTGCAGCACAGGATGTACCAACCACCTGTCATCACTTATCTTGATCGTAGGTTTCTTTGATGCCAAGGCATCTGTAGCTCCAACTCACTGCAATCAGCAAGACTTGCTTAGGCTCACTGGAGGGCAAGGCAGTCTTCTGTATCTGTATTAGAGCTAGCATCTCCCATCCATTGCCATGAGCATAGACTTTTTATTCCTGGCTGTTGCAGCTCAGCATATCTTGAATACTTCCTTAAAGAGGAAAAAACAATCTGTTAAAGGACCCAAGTGATGAAAAAGACAAGCAGTACAAATTCAGTGAGCCAAGAAATGTGGATGCCACAGTAGTATATTGATGCTGTTGTGTACCCAGTGGCTCTTCTTCACAGCTCACTCAGGCTTTCCTTTTCCACAATCTCAAAGTCAGGTTGAGTGGCAAGAAAGCAGTGCTGCAAGTGTTCACTTCTGGATCCTGGCGAACAGTCTGCTCTGATGACTGGAAAGCAGAGTATGGAAATACTACCTGCAAACACCTGGGTTTCTCAAGGTAGGAACACAAAATGGAAGAAACTTTATTTGGCATTTTGAGCAAACTCCGGGGTTTTCAATCTTTCTAATCAAACCTTGTATTAATCTGTGCTTTAAAAGAAAAAGGAATTACCAATCCACATTTAAATGATATGGTTGAGGAGATTTAGAATTATGTAAATACTTGTGCACTGCAAATACCATTTATTACTACTATAAATCTGGGATGATGGCTAAATATAATGGTTTGCTTAAATCTTCTGTATGGGATGCAAGTGCCTGAATCCTATTTGTCTCTCTAGTAGCTTACAACCTGTCAGGGAGCCACTAAAAACCATATGAGCGTTTTCCATTTCTTTTACTTCCTCTGCAAAGTAGAAAATAGGAATTAGGAATAAGTAGGAAATAGAAAAGTAGGAAATAGGGATTATGATAGGAAAATTGTATATACAATTGATGCCGTGACATCTGTTAGGAATTAAGGTCCATCTTACTATTGGAGAAGAGCATGGCGATTTAGTTCTTGCTGGACTGATCCCATTCCTGAAAAAGCACTGTGTCTTTCACTAACTTTCACACAATTGAGAAAGAGTTTGAAGTTGTGACTTGCAATGATGCTGTTATTTCTTCTAATGATGTCATTTTGTTTTCTGCACACTGTAGACAGCAGCATAAAGCTTCTTTGAATAAGTTCTTGCTGTCCTTAGGGTAAAATACATCTCAATTTTTCAACAAAAAAGGACAGGAAAAATTACAGATTATTTATCCTTCCTGCTGCAAAACTTAACTCTAGAAAAAGGCGTCAATGAGCTTGCCAGTGCTAACCAGTTACAATGAAGACTTTGTTGCAACATTAGAATTAAAATTTACTTTCTCAGCCAGTTAAATGACTCTCAGCATGTTGTGACTTCCACACAGGGTTGTGGCAAAAATACGTGCATGTTATGAAAAACGTTTCTTGGGGAGGACGCAATTACTTTGTCAAGTGTCTGAGTCTGATTATTGTGGTTGTGACACTGGGTTTTCATTAGCAGAACCGCTGAATTATTTAAGCAGATTACTGAAATGCTGCCTGAGGAAGCTGTGCTTATGGTTTATTTGTAGTTACGTGAGTTCAGGTTACCTGCCCGTGGCTGCTGTTGAAAAACAGTTTCAAAGACATTTCGTATCCCTCAGTGAGTGGTTATCAGCAGATCAAGCTACATCCCTGCACAATGCAACAAGCCTCAGGTATGCCTCGGTTTGTTCACCCTGACAGAAAGAGAGTGGTTGATAGAAGCAGAATTATCAACAGTTTTGAGATTGTTACCAGTTTTTTCAGACAAATGGTAAATGGTCGGTAGTGTTATCCATCATAGACCAAGGTTCAGTAGCAGTCTTACTGGAATACCAATTTGGAGCCTGATCCAAGGCCCATCAGAAACAGCAAAGGCTTTAAACTGAGCTATTTGCAAAGCCTGTTTGTCCCGTGATTCTCTTTTTGCAAGCAGATAGACACCAGACACATTTTTTCCATTGTGAAGCAGTTTGTTTCAGTTTACAGATCCCTAGATGTTTCCCAGTGGGCTCATGAACCCATTATGGCCCATTTCTTCCTCCTGACAATTGCTTGTTTTTCTTAGTTACCTTTCACTGAGAAGCAAGCTCCAAGGAGTCTACAGATCACACATTGAGAATTGCTGATGAGCCTCCCCTTGCAGAAGAAGAAACATTCTTTAGTGGGGCAGCATATGGTCTTCAGGCTCACAATGGTGTCTAAGCTCCTAAGCATTTCAGCTAAATGCCCTAAGTAGATTGGATGAGTACATGACTTTGTACCTCTTTCAATATGAGTTACTTGTATTTATGTGCACATAGCTGTACAGGAAGATGTCAACGATATTGAAAACACACTCAATATTTGTGAATTGGAACTAATACTGCACTGTCTTTTCATCTTAGAGAGGAATGCACTTCTGGCAATGTGATCATCTTAAAATGTTTGGGTAAGAAACAGGAAACAAAATCTGAAGTTGTCCTTCTTCATCTACTGCATGGCAAGAGTTGGGAGGAGCTGTGTACACAGGGCATGCTATACCATCAGTTTATCACACCAAAGAAAAATTGTATTTCTTTTATAAAATTTGAACGAATTTCAGAAAATGAAAAGAGGCTGAGAGGGCAGATTAGGAGCACCAGGTTAGGAGCAGGAGTGTTTTGATGAGAATCACAGTAGACAGTAGATGTTTAAGAATGTGATTTGAGTGCATGGAATAATGCTGTAATTCCAGTTCTTTGTCATCTCATCAGGAAAAGGGAAATTTTGTTTTAATATTTGAACTTTCATCCCACATCTCTCCATGTCAGCTAGGTTTTGGATTGGGGTATGAAAAGTCAAAAAAAACAGCAGCAAAATAATCATCGGGGAGAGGACATGCTTCAACTTGCCTGTGTGGGGCCCTGGGACCCTGGGACCCTGTGCATTTAAGGAGGGCAGAACAGTAGGGTTACAGCTCAGCTCAGAAGTGAGCTTCACAGCCCCCATATGGGCTGCCAAGCACGACGCTGCAGGGATTGGAGGGAGGAGGAGAAACCTCTTGAGCAGCTACAACTCAAGATGTAGGCCATGGGGATGGGGATGGTCCTGCTGCAGAGACCTCCCAGCCTCAGCGAAGCTGAGAGCAGAAAGGCTGAAGATGACAAAAACCATGCCAGTGTTTCCTCCATGGACCCCAAACCTTTGCTTTCTGGCAGCATGTGGGACACGGGCCAGCTACAGGCCACGGATCGTGGGGGGCAACGCGTCCTCCCCTCAGCAGTGGCCCTGGCAGGTCAGCCTGCAGTTCCATGGGCAGCACCTCTGCGGAGGGTCCGTCATCACCCCGCGCTGGATCATCACAGCTGCCCACTGTGTCTATGAGTAAGTTCCTAAACTGTCTTGCTCAGGGTGTCCCACTCACCCCACCTGCAGCACGTCTGTGTGTGGGGCCACTGCAGAGGAGGGCTAATACACTGTGCTTTCTCTAAGAAATAAACTGCAGAAGAGACTGGGTTATCCTTAGTTCACGGGCTTGCTCCATTACATTTAAACCACCTCTCTCCCTTCTTGTGTAAGTGCGAGTCTCTACTGAAAAAAGACTCTCCCCAAGAAGTGGGCTAAATCAGGAGACTCGCTTTTCAGATGTTATGGGCGCTCCTGGCTTCCTGGGAAATCAGCTTAAAACAACATTGAAGAGCTAGATTTTAGGTATCCTGATCTGTAGTTTCTGTATATTGCATCTGAGTTAACAGGTACAAGAATTCGTACTTGGTTGCTCAAATACCTTTTAGCTTTAAGATTAATTACACAAACCTTTTCAAGTTCACAGGACCAATCAGTGGTAGTTAGGAAGTTGCACTGTGCTTAGTGCCCTTTACCACATACTCACTGCTTCTTTTTATGCTGTTCAAGTAGTCTTTGAGTTGTAAATAGATGCTAAACTGTAATTAGCCTCCTCTTCTTTGTTTAATTATAAACATAGCCTTCCCTTTTATAATGAGTTGTCTGGTTTTGCAGCCTTATTTGTTGCTAGCAGTGCAGGAGCGCCCTTCTCACTCCTACGAACTCCAGGCCACTTTCACCTTATTTCACTTTATTAATACATAAGATAGCAATTACAGCAGACTGTCGCTATTTGCCTGTAGAGTTTAATGTGGTTCGTAAGTTCGGAGGGCAGTTAGACAACCTGAAGGCTTTCTTGAGGGTTTTTCACTCTCTCCTACTTCTTTTTTCAGCCTGTACTTCCCGAAGTCATGGAGTGTGCAGGTTGGTTTTGTGACTCAGCAAGATACCCAGGTTCACTCATATTTGGTGGAAAAAATTATATACCATCGAAATTATAAACCCAAGACAATGAGAAATGATATAGCACTGATGAAACTGGCAGCACCGCTTGCTCTCAATGGTAATTCTTCCCCTTAGCTTTCACTTGGCTTTTTAGACTTTCTAGCTAAAAAATGAAGGGTCTTTTCCAGCACAGACAGGGAAACTTCTGTTGGTAGCCTATGCCTGACCCAGGACAGTTCAGTGTATCCCCACCACCTCTACAAGCGATGATGGATGTGCTGTGTGGATGTAGCCAGTTTGCTGCTGAGACAGCAAGGCAGTGGTCCCTGTTCAGACTACACTGGCAGAAATCCCTCAGAAATCCTCTCAATATCCAGGCATAGAGAGCAACAACACGGTCACAGAGCTCTGCAAATTGTTCCCAGTCTATTCTGGTATTGGCTTACTGAAGGCATTTAATAATAGGCAAACATTAACTTTATTCTTTCTAAGTATTTTTTCCTATCTAAAATAAACACCCCACCTCATTTTACTTGGAGATCGTGGAGATTTTTGTCCTTTCTGTGAGTATGTGGAGATCCAGCAGCTTTCAAAGCTGAAAGTTAAGCTTGAATTTCAAAGAGAAGAAAAGGCAATCTAAATATAATGATGCTTTTAAATTAAAACTACTTTTGTTTCCTCAGCAGGATGCTACCTACAGCTGACACAGCTAATGAATTGAAATAATGTGTATGAATTGAAATGGTCACCTGCCAGTACCTCCTAATCACTGAGAGCTCTCTGCAAAGGGGAGCTGGCTCTCTCTGCCACATACAGACTGTCAGTTCCTAAATCAATTCTCTTGAAATACTCTAGACTTCCACCTTGAATGAAAATTAAGCTTGAGTTTGTTCTGCTTTATATCTCAGCTAGTGCTGTTTTGTTTCGCCCGGGGAAGAAGTCTGGGAGTCTGTCAAGAACAGCGATAGCATTGCACCTGAGATACCTGCTATGCCCTGTGGGGACTGGGGGCACGCCAGGGGTCTTGGAGGCTCCACAGTGGGTGCTTTGTATCTTGAGCTGGGATCATTGCACAGTGCAGAGCTGAATCACTAGGAATTACCCAGTAATACCTTGTATCTTCCCTCCCTTTGCTCAGTGCCAGCTCACCTTACATGTCAGTTTGCTCCTGCAAGCATCAAACGCTGATTATATTGCACTGCATTGCGTGCCCCAGGGCGTAAGCCGACTGGTGGGAAGCAAAAAAGATGTCTTGCTGCCCTTTCAGAAGAGAGCAGAGATGTGCATATGTGGCTCTTCCTGTGCCACTGCACAAAAGCTGTTAGAAAGCACCCTGCAGTTGTGCCATGGTTAGCTAAAGCCATTTCTCTGCCCAGCCAGTGTGCGGTGGGGTCTCTGATCTACCAGTCAGCTGCATACATGGTGCATTTCTTGTTTGCTCATTCTTCAATTTATTGAAGAACACTTCCTTTTGTTGCTTCATACTTGAAACTAATTAGGCCTGGGGCAGGTATTGATTCAAGCCTATGGAACTGGCCCTAAGACAAAAGACCTGCAGAACTGCCAAGCTGTTTATGTGGGGAGTGGGTGGTGTTCATAAGAAGTTCACTGCATGCCAAATCTTTCGCCAGTCTTCACTGCATGCCGAAAGTTTTACTGAGTCACAATATTTTGCTAAATTTTAAAGGCAATTTTCTCTTTTTATTTTTTTAAACCAGGTCACATAGAGCCAATTTGTCTGCCTAATTTTGGTGAACAGTTCCCAGAAGGGAAAATGTGCTGGGTATCAGGATGGGGAGCAACTGTGGAAGGAGGTATTTTAAATGACCTGCTGTTAATTACACTACATCTCACATACAGTAAATACAGGATTTGGTTGTTCAATATTAAATTTTCTAGAATATCTGGGATGGGGGGGACAAGATTTATTCCTAAATTTTATGCTTACCCTAATGAGTAAAAGTGCTGTACAAGCCCTTATCGTGAGGAATGGATGGGTATGCTCTGTGAAAAGGTTGAAAATGACATGAGGACTGCATCGATGTTGTACTCAGCCTCAGCCAAACAGGTGGTGTCCTTTATAACTTCAATCATAGAAAGCACAGAATGAATGCAAGAATTGACCATCCATTTTCTCAGAGACAGCATGTATGCATTTTCAGGCAGGTTGGATGATGTGGAAATCAGATCTGTGAGCAGGGAATTCTTTTTTCTCTCTTACCATTACTCATAGGTCATATTAATCAATTATCTATAGTGAATCACTTCCATGTGAAAATACTTGAATTCTCGGGTAATTGGGTTTTATCATTCTTCATTTGTCTCAACTGACGTGTTCCCATTGTTCAGAGAGCAAGAACAGTATGTTACCTGACCTACTGGTAACAGTGGAAGGTAGGAAAAAAATGAAAGCAAGGTTTACCACATAAAAGTCAGCTATAAATGGACAATAGACATTGTGCAAATACTCCCATTTACAGAAATGATCCGCTTAGACTCAGGAGAAAATAAATATTTATAAAATAAATCAGATATTTGCAGATGATTTGCTGACTAACAGAACAGGTGATAAATTTGAAATGAATTTTGGCACTGGTTTAGAAGACACTGTCCAATCAACTTTTCATTATTGTCATTGATTCTCTAGTCTGAAGTAAAAACACACAAGGTACAGCTTTGTATTACATACTGTGACAATCCACATCTCTACAGAGTTGCTAGTTACTAGATTTTGTATGTGATGAGACACCCAGTTCCCTTTATTTGTTTGGTGTCATTTTAACCACATTACTTTCAGCCTTGCTTGCCAATTCTTCACATACTGAAACACTTTCTGTGTGTAATTAGAGATTAGTTTCTGCAATAGAGAGCTTTTTCTTTGTGAGGATTTTTTTCCTTTTCTATTTTAACAGGTGATACATCTGACACCATGAATTATGCAGGTGTTCCTCTGATTTCTAATGCAATTTGCAATCACAGGGATGTCTATGGAGGGATCATAAGTCCTTCAATGCTTTGTGCCGGTTTCCTGAAGGGAGGGGTAGACACGTGCCAGGTATGGAAGTTTCCAAATTGCAACTCAGCTCATTAACAGCAGCAATGGAAAAACATGACTGATAAGTTATCAGAAGGCACTCCCAGGCTTTTCTTGGACAAACATTTGGTTTTGTGCCATTTACTCTGTTTACCATGAATATCAATCAGTGAATGTGCATGCATTCATACGCTACAATTCCCTTCTGATGTTTAATCTGTGGCCTATATCTGCTACTTCTGAAGCCAAATTTACTTAAGACATTTTTTAATTTCTTGCATGTGGTACAGTGTGGTGCCATCCTTTCATTGCTCTGGCTGCGGCCTCTGCACTGCGCTGAATTGTACTGCAGTGCGCTGAATTTTACTGCACTGCACTGTGAGAAGCTCTGAAGGCCTGCAAGGTGTAGAAACCCCATGGTTAAAAGCAGCTAAAGTGTACATCAATAAAGAAACACAAGATTTTGGAAAGAGCAGAGTGAGGCAGGGAAAGGAAGAAAGGGAGAGGTGTCTGAGTAACTCCATAGACTGGTAATGACTCTGGAGGAGAGCGTTCATAGCAGTGATGAATCAGAGCATCCTTCACAACACAGTGTGGTAATGCTTCAAAATCACTGTCAGAGTCAAGAGAGTGCCCACCTTGTGCTAGGTCTCATTCCCATACACACTAATGTGGACTCACCATGCTAGTCATGCATGAAGTGCAAGAACTAGGAAGAAATTTGTTTCCAGGTATGTTCAGTCCCAGTTTCACAGGGAGCAAGACAAAGAGAAGACATGAGGTGCATAGATATTCATTTATGCCCCTTTTTGCACTCCCCCCCAGTCTCATCACTATGCCTATGCGAGCTGCCCAAAGGCAGCACACTCAGCAACAAAACAAGCTGTACTCACCAAAGGGAGAGGCTTGTTCCAACTTCCCTTGTTTTCCATTGTTGTGCTGACTCTGATGCTCATAGGGAAACTGCCCCAGGAAAATAAATAGGGAGTTTTCAGTTCGTAGATGTGAGTCCATTGAGTTGAATCTGCTTTGCAAAGTGCCAGGGACAGAAAAGCACTATGTAAGACTGCAGGTAGAAGCAGGCAGGGAAGGAGGTGGGGTACAAGCTTGTTGCAACCCTGGGCTCAGCTAAGCTCAACAGCCAGGAGCTCTTTGAGAGAAGCAGCTTCAACACTGCTTCTCTGGACTGCTAGATAGGGAAAGAAAGGTATGATCTAATACACATCTCTAAGAAGTCTCCAACTTCTACCATAACATATGCTTTTCCCAGTACCCAGAACAGAGCAGATACAGAATACTTTGAATTACTAGACTATGCCTCTCCCCCTACCCCCCAAATAGATCTTCCACTTCATTTCTGAGGCACTAACATTTGTTCTAATTCTTTGTCCTCCAGGGAGATAGTGGGGGCCCTTTAGCATGTGAAGATAGGAGTATCTGGAAGTTGGTGGGGACCACCAGCTTTGGAGTGGGCTGTGCAGAAAAGAACAAGCCGGGTGTCTACAGCCGAACCACCTCTTTCCTGGACTGGATACATGAACAGATGGAGGTCTACTTTTGCCCTGTCTCTCTGTCTTTGCTTGCTGCTTTGCTCTGCCACATAGTTTAGGTCGTATTTGTCACAGCTGAGTTGTGTTGTATGGACACATGCATTCTGAGTGCACATGTGGGGATTGCAGCATGTCCACATGCAGGGCAGAGAGAGCAAGATGCAGGGGGCGCTGGGCAGCGGTATAGAGGAGAGAAGAGCATGTATCAATATGGGTGGGAGTGACTGGTGAGGGGGCCTGGAGGCACAGAGTGGGGAGGTGTAAGGGAGTTTACCTGAAAGCTGTGAGGCAGCTACAGAAAAGCCTGGGGAGTCAAAGCTGAGGGGGCCAAAGGAATTGGGGAAGGTGTTGGCTGGAAGGAGAGAATAACAGAGTTAAGGAAATGGGGGGAAACTGCAGCCACCTTCACCTGACCCAAGGGTGATCCACTCTCCAGAGACCAGGTTCTCTGCTGTCAGCATCCCTCGAGTGCTGCCAGAGAGATGTTGGGTTGAATCAGCTGAGCAGGAAGAGTTGTGCTTCAGGAGGAATCCCAAGCAAGGATCTGTTGCCTAAGCAGAGGCATATAGAGCCATTTGGGAGACCCCAGGCTGTTCTGCCTGGCTCACAGGTATCCCTGCAAAACGGAAAGGATCTGCAGCTAGACCTGGGTCTTACCTACCATCTTCATGGGGATGCCTCATATAGCCTGCTAATGAGCCTTCCAACTAAAAGGAAAGAGAATAAACCCCTTCAAAGCTTCAAAGCCTACCCCTTCCTTCTATCACTAATATATTCCTCCATCCTCTGAAAATGTATTTCTTTATGACCCTTATGTTCCTGTCTTAGCACAGGCTGCGAACTGGTGAAATAAAGTGGTGGGAGAAGCTGCTCTCATTTGCTTGGGTTAACAGTGTACACAGCAGGAATTGGACCACATCACACCTCTTGTGGTGGTGGTGGTGTGTTTTCCTGACACACTTCTGCTGGTAGTCCCGGCTCCAGCAACCCTGCAGTTCCTTTGGTGACCCTAGTACAGCAGGGGAAAAATATTCATTCCCTTTCAGAGTTCAATAGGCAGCAACACAAGCATTTGAATAGATGTATAACTGGTTTTGCTTCACAGAGAGAAGAGCTGCAGACCTGAGGAGAGTAGTGGCGCTTCTGAACACTCACAGCCCCACAGAAGGACTCACCACACTCTTCTGGACACCTGCTCCAAACTTTGTACCTTCACAGACTACTTTGTACCATTTGGTTTTGGTACTGGTAGCTGTACTTAATGAAAACTGCTGCACATCCAGCCTCCTTTGGATGGAAGAGACAGTCGAATGCTGGATAATGGGCATGCGTATTTACTGTCAGCTATGAATTTCACACATAGAAAAAGCTCTAAGACTGATAACCCAGGATGCTTTATCCCAATAAAGTTTTTCAGGAACAATGAGTAAAAGACTAGAACAACTTCAGATCAGGTTGTTAGCTGTTATTTAATACTTACCTTCCAAGAACCAGATGACAAAAAGACTTCTTTTCTGGAAGTATTCATGTATAAAGTCCACGCTTGCACAGGGAGCAGTAGCTTTCTCTGAAGCCATAAAGCAAGCCGGAAGTAGCAGTTGGCAAGCATTTGGCAAGTATGCTCAACTCTTTTTGGAAAAATTCTCTGGATTCTAATCTTTTATCATGTGGCTGTGAGCAAAGTCCCTAAAAATGAGGGAGTTGAGAGGGGTATTCTTGTGATAAATAACTCTGGAATGAGCAACACAGGCTGTAACTTCACTGAAAAATCCTGAGATTACTGAAAGGGAAGTCTGAAAGGGAAGAGAAGCTTCTTTACTGCCTTTCAATAGGCTAAAGAGCCAAAATCATTGCTGTATATATGATGAACGATGCAGTGCAATAGCCACCGAATACTCCCAAGTTTGCATGATGTAGTACAGCTCACCAAGGCACTCATGCTCAGTCGCCTTCCATGTTTTCCTTCTCTTTCTCTGCAGACAGGACAATATAGATCCCTCACTCTTTGTACCTGTTAGTGACATCAGTACACTATGCAGATGAACTGATGTCAGCCAGGCAAAGGACAAAATATCTGAAGTGCTGCTGTGGTTTCCTATTTGACAAGACTTTTTAATGTAACAGCCTCGTGTTGTTAGGTTGGAAAGCACGCAATTGTTTTACACTTGCTCTTTGTAAAAATCCTGGGTGGAAGTTGTCAATTTTAGAATTGATTGTCTGGGTCTAGGTGGGCTGAATAATGGATAATATTGTTAGAGCTTTTCAATATCAGCCAAAATTGATCTTATCATCTTATCAAGTGTGCTGATCTGCTTGAAATGTGGTTTTGGGTGCGCCTGTGTGCTTCTAAATCAGTATCCGTGTCACCACTGTCATCCACCACTGCCACAAGAAAGTGCTGGCAGAACTGGAACTGCATTTTCACTGCAATATGTTGGATCAAAATTGAGAGAGAACAGCAAACCTGCACGAACTGTCAACCTCCATGTTGCTCTTTGATCTCAGAGGACACTTCACCAATACTTTTCACCCTGGCTAAAGAAACTGCAGTACAATGGAAACAGCACTTACAAACCTGGCACATTGTTGAAAAGAAGAGGGAAGCATTATTGCAAAGCTGATATAAAAACAGGAATAAAATGGGAAATTTGACAGAACCATGATGGAATTAAAACAATGTTGAGCCCTTGTGTAACTAGGAAGTTTTCAGGAGAGCTTTAATGTTCACTGGTTGTTTCCATAACATATTCACAGCCCCAGCAGGGCTCGTGTTTTAGAATTATCAGCAGTCTGGAGATGAGGGCACTGCTGTCTGAGCTCATGGAGTTGTTATTTCATGTTTCTGAAAGGACCCCTGAAAATTCTGTTTGGACTCCTTTTATTTCCATGAGAAGACTGTATAATGAGTATCCATTGTGATCTTTATGTTAAAGAGAAATGCAATGTAAAATGTAGAAAGGTAGTGAATTCTTCTCAGCAAGAAGCCACACTGACCCCCAGATCAATGGCAGACACTTATGAGTATACCTAGCTCAGGTTACCAAATCTTTTCCTTTTTTCCTTTGGCTTTTCTCCTCTTTATTCAACAAAAATAATTGGCTACACCACACGTGCATGACAGAGGCCTGCCAAACCAGGCAGGGCTGAAGGCAACTCCAGTTTAACTAATCCTGATTAGGAGATTTATGGTAAACACCTTGGAAGTATTTAAGATCTTTCTATTAGAGGGGTGTATATCTGCTACACTATTAAAGAGGCTGCTGAAACAGCTTCTAGCTTGTGAACTCACATCTCTGGTTAAAATGGTTGCTTTATCACATGATTATATTACAGCCATAGTGTCCCTTAGAAATACAACCTGCTTTTATGCACAGCTTGTGGAGAAAACTTGCATCAACGTGTACTAAACTCTCAGAAAATGTACTCAACCTCACAAGAAATGTCCAGCATGTGAAGATAAATTCCTTTGGGATTCATCACCTGCTCCTGTATTCATGATATATAAGCGTGGAAATTGAGACGAAGCTGGTAAGTTTGGGTAAACCAGATGTGACTTTTATTCAATGTGCGGTTTTCCCAGACACTCTGAAAAAGCATCACATGCATAAAATCTCCTGTGGCCAACTCAAAACTCTTTTCTTTTTCACTTGAGAGGTACAAATAAGGCAACTTCTGAAGATACAGAGATAAAACTAAAACCAAACACCTAAGTTTGGTGTCCGAGAAAGCTGAGAGGTGACATGCTTTTAACATGCTAATACATAGCGCACCAGGAAGCAATCAGTGCACAGAGGTGGCGATGCCTCACAGCTCTGCTCATAGGGGCTGTCTCACTGACAAGATTCATATAACTCTGTAAATAGAAATTCAAGAACTGCACATTAAAATTAAAGAAATGGATCTGGTTAGTCCATTTTTTATTTTTTTTTTTACTGTCTTCAACATCGAAACAAGGCAGGTTGGAATCTTATAATCTAAGTGTTGCACCATAAATCTTGCTGTAGTTTGATCCCTGAAAGGTACACACTCTCCAGTATCTCTGTGAGTGTAGTACCATTTTAAGATGTGCAGATGAAATCTCTTCAACAAATAGCCCTGTGACAAGCAGTATCACTTGTAGGCAGCAGGAGCCTGAGATTACATCAAGCACAGTAAGAAGTGAGCTTACTTGAGCTGTTTAAGGAAGGGACAAGGAAAGGTATGAGGAAGTGTTTCTTATTGGAACTGAAAGAGTATGCTCAATCATTGCCTGTAATCTCTGTTTTTATGTGTTTTACATTAACAGAGGCTTCTGAGTTTGTTTTGTTGCTTTTGTCACGTGTTCTTGCTGTAAAGTACAGCAGATTGCGTCCCCACCATTGACACTGGTTGGGTGGGTAGGATTTTGAGAAGTTTGCTTCAAGATTTGGCAGGGGAGAGGTAAGAATGCAGCCTTCTGAATGGCACAAAACAACTAGACCTATTTTTGCTGATTAAAAGAAAACTGATTCCTTAACTGATTCATTTTGCTGAAGACCACTTTGTTAGCTGCCAGTCTGAGCAATGCAAGTGTAAAATGCAATGGGCAAGAGAGAAAACATTAATGATCCCCCATCTCCTTATGCTGGAGTGCATTTATACAAGGTAGATGAAGGCACATGACTAGCAGCTGAGTGAGGAGCCTATCCTTGCCTCTGGTACCCACATCAGACCTCTGCTCTAGGGCTGCCAGCATACACCTCTGTGTCCCCATAGCCAGGGCTGGGTATGGCCACACAGCAAAAAACAGCTTGGCAAAATGCTATCTTAGAAGATAAAGCCAAAGCAACTGCTTTAATGCTTTAGCAGAGGACTAAATAAATGGAAATTAGCTGCAGCAAGTGGGATGCTACCCTGCGTACCCATAATTCAAGGACTGCTGAGCCTGGTGCAAGGCAGGCTGGTGGAGCTCCAGTGGCTGGGTAACCACCTGTGGCTTTCCCAAGACAGCATTTGCTTAATTCCTGTTGGGATAAATGTTGAACTTGATTATCTTAAAGGATTTTTCCAACTCAGTTGAATCTATGATTCTGTGAATTAAAGTGGCTTGCAGTGGCAATAGTAGGAATGAGGCCTTTGTCTCTCAGGTGTGGTCCTAAAACAAATATGGTCTCTCTGAAGCTTTCAGGTGACAGAGGGAGGGAGTCAAAAGGAAGAAGAATAAAGAACAAGACTTGTCTTGAAGCGCTACAGCATAAAGCCCTTGGGGAAATAATTTGCAATTAAAAATAAACTTACCAGTAAATCTGGTAAATCTTCTTACAGATTTCCAGCTTTTTGAAGCACATTTTGCAGAGACAGTCCAGTGATAGGAGGCTTTAAATCCTTTTTATACAACTAGTGTGATCGTCATGTACCATTTATTTGTGTACCCTTACTCTCAGCAGCATTACCTCTATCAGAAATAAATTTGAAGTGCTTATGATAATATGAAGCCCTCAGCAGATGGCAGCATACATCAAATTTTTGTCTGCATCCTCTGTTTTAGAAAACCCCAAACTGAACTCTTCATACCTCAGCCATTACAAGCAGGTAATGAGAACATGGTTATGGTCCCTATCACACTCTTGGCTGTTCAAGGAAAGGTTACTGGAGAGATAAAATTTCCTGATCAGAGGAGGGGACTCTCAGGCACCTGGGAGCATGGTGAGAGCATCCACAAGCCTCCTCATGTCTCTGGTGAGTGCTGGCCCTGGCTTCCCTAACTGTGTAGCTCTGCTGTCTGCTAGTGCTGCTGGGTCCTCATGCTATGGGATGCCCTGGAAATCACAGCCTTAGGCTTTCTCATGCTGTGATATTTTTAAATTATTTGATATTTTAAAATAATTTAATGTTTTTAAATTATTAAAAAGTTACAGTGGAATAGCAGTAAGATGTTAACTGCAGAGCTGATCTAGAGAAGTCTGTTGTACAGAATACTATCCATATCTCCAACTACTTGGCTATTCTCAGCTGAGACTAAAACTGTGACTAAATAACAGTGAAAAAAAAACCTTTTCCCTGCAAATTAGTTTGTGTCACTCACCAATGGCAGGAAGAAAAAAGTTTATTTAGAGGTGTAGTAACCTTCCTTTTTACTAGCACTTTTACTAGGACCAGGACGGCATCACAACTTTACCAGCCTCAGGGCAAAAATATCACTGTCACATAACAATATTTCTGTGCAGGTACCCTGTGCTGGACGCTTACAGCCATGTACAGATACCCATCGGCTTAATTTTAACAAACCCTTAAAGCCAGTAGGAAAATGGAAGCTAAGCTTCTCCAGAATCAAAGGACTTTATCGCACTGTGGCTGCCGTGAAAGTAAAAGGAAAGTTGTTTAAGATTTCCTTCACCTTTTTCTGCTGCTTCTGCCTGCGGGAGGAGTAAAGGCATGGAATGTGCCCTCTGGAGCCGCAGCCAGGCGCTGCATTCTTGCTCCTCCATGGGTCTGCGTCCCCACATCCACACACACCAGAATGATCCCTGCTTTTTATAGTGCAATGCCCCTAGATCCTCTCCACCTCTCAAGACCTCTTTCTTTTAAGCCTTTTGCTGTCTCCACCCCCCCTGTGTCCCTAAATACCCGTCTTCCCTCCCCTGGCTGCCCCTCATGTCCCCTACCCGTGACATCTGTCTGGGCAGGAGGCAGGACAAGCAGAGCCAGCCAGTCAGCCCAGCATCTGATGTGCTGATGGCACACCAAATCCTGAAACCTCCCTGCTTCTCCTTCAGTCGGAACAGTCAGTCAGATCGTTTTCTTCCTCCCAGATTTATCTTTATTGCTGGCAACCCTGCCTGCTGTGTAATGCCAGATGTACTGCATGTGTGCTACACTGGGATCAGCATTTCCCACCTTTCTGAATCTGAGGGCTATGGAATCATTTTAAACAAAGCTAGGGACCATCTGGCACCATGCAGCCAAACTGATTTTACACTTACAAGTAGAGATGCTTCTTTATTTATGCTGGTTTCTTTTCCTGTTTATCCACTTGCTTGCTTGGGCATGTGCTCATATTTATGACTTCCCCCCCTTTCTCTTTTGGCAGTTGCTGGTGCAGTTCAGCCTCCGATCACTAACAGGCTGGGACTGGAGACTCAGGAACACTGCTCCAAATGATGAATTAATTCCCCTTCATGCTGCAGTAAGACAGTAAGGAAATGCTGACCACTGACTCCTCTGGGACCTGAAGCTCCTCATCCCTGCCCAAGACATGAATGAGCTGGAAGGGAGAGCAGTGACTGCTGTTTTCAGCAGCCCTCTGAGTGCTGTGAGCATCCCTTTGTGAGACGCCGGGGATAACAGGTATCTACCTGACACAGTTAAAAGAAAGGAGAGGTAATAAAAAGCCCCTCTACAAATCCATTTGCATTTGGCTCTATGCTTATATGTCTCACTAAAGAAGAAATCTTATTTGTTGCTTTTTTTCCCAACACTTCCAGCCTCTGCTCATTTTGCCCCTGGACTGAGCATTTTTTGAAGGCTCCCCATTACTTACATAATTTAAGAAGCAAGTAAAAAATATTGCTGAACACACACACATAAAGGCGTTGATTTGGTGATTCACCATACTGCAGATAAGTTATTTAGCAACTGGCAGAACACACACACAGTGATGCGTGGCAGTACTGTACAAAACATGAAGAAACGCTTCCCGCTGAGGGTCTTAGAGCCCAGGCAGGGTGCAACAACTGTCGTGACTCAGACATTCTGGCCCAACCTCTAGTGCCTGGGGCATCCTCAGCGAGGTGCCTGCAGCAGAGCATTTCCAGCAGATGGAGGGGGAAAGGCCTGTTTTTGCATCAGAGGGGTCTGAAGACAGGCACCCCAGCGATCAACCCCATCATCACCGCTGCGCTAGAGCTGAGACTTTTTGTGTGAGCCCCCTTTGCTTTTCACATGGACCCTCGCTGACACATTGCTCACAGTTTCAGTGGCATTGCTCTCATATCACAGTTAAGTCATACCCTGCTTCATGTTTACACCTAACAAGCTCTTAACACCAGATGTTTGCAACCTGTCACCACTGCCAGCAGTCT